TTTCTTTCCGGTCTCTCATTCCTACTCTCATTTCTTTCCGGCTCTCATTCCTACTCTCATTTCTTTCCGGCTCTCATTCCTACTCTCATTTGTTTCTTGTTCTCATTCCTACTCTCATTTCTTTCCGGCTCTCATTCCGGCTCTCATTTCTTTCCGGCTCTCATTCCTTTCCGGCTCTCATTCCAATTCTCGTTTACTTACAATGCTCGCTACTATTCTCTCTTTTCCTTTACACTCTTCCACTGTCCTACATTTCATTCTTCGTCTGTCCTCACACTGCCATGTACTGTGCAGGCGTCCCGCCTGCTCACGCTGGACTAGTGCTGTGCTGGAACTGGAGGGTCTGCAGCTGCAGGCGACCGCCGCGCTGCGTCCTCGTGTTGGGGAACGCCGCCGTAGTGCACCACTTTATCCATGCGTGAATCACCCTCCTTCAGCAGCAGGGCGTCCCCCTCGGATTTGGCCACCGCGTCGCACTTGTCCACGGCATCCTCAGTGGAGGGGTCGCCGGACTGCACCGCGTCTTCTGGGGGAGGGTTCAAAAAGTAGAACAAAATTGTCACCAGTACAAGCGCCCCCGCAAGAGAAAAACTGGTGATTTTTGCGTTTTTCGGCCGCATCACAGGAGAGAGGGCCATGCCAAGGAACCCGCTTAGGCTGGAGGTCAGGAGGTACAGCGCCATCACGGCGCCCTTCATTTGGGTGGGTGCCGCAACGTAGACCACCTCCAGGACAGTTGTGTCCACCAAGGCGCTCGCGACACCCTGCATAATGTAGGGCGGAACCAACCAACCAGGGGACAACATTATCATCCCGGGAAACAAATTATAAAAGTCGCTTTCGTCATACGTTCCACGGTGATCTATGCCAATCTGCACAAAGCCACACCACACCATGGAAAGGACCATCGTGACACACCCAACCACCATACGTCCTCGCACAGGAGGGGGGCGGTTAGCAAACATGCGTGGAAACACGACTCGGTCAAAAAGCACCAGCGAGACAAGAAGTGCCACAGTATTGACGTTGTTGAAGATTTCTGGGGGAAGTTTCGGTGGGAGTCGCGTCGATGACGCCTGCAAAATCATGTTGGTGCTGAATTGGTTTGTAATTAGCCAATAGATGGGCATTGGAACAAGGGCACGGCAGACGGAAACAATCGTCTTGGCGCTATCCACCCACACCTGTTCCATCCCATCAATCTCGGGTGAGGCACTGTCGCTTGGATTCTCCTCTTTCTCCGCCGCGTCACCGCCGAGTTTTGGCGCCACGGGCCCCTGCTCGTTGCTCACTGGAGCGCTGACAGTTCCAGCCCCCGCCGAGCTCGGTCGATTCCTTGAGAGGTCAGAAGGGACTGCCAAGTCGGTGCGCGGCGCCGTCGCGTCAGGACAACTGTCCCCGGTGGCAGAGTAGGCAGCGTAGTCGATCAGGTCCCAACGATGCGCGGCCTGAAACGCGTCATCGCGAATGCGCCCAGTAGCGAAGTACCACCGTATGCGAATGGCACGGAAAAATACGTGTACCAGCACAAACTCGGGCACAGGTGTATTCTTCCGAAACTGGCGATATGTGACGCCAAATATAAATAGCCCCAAGAGACAAGATGCCGCCGATAGCGTAAACCCAAGGTAAAAGCCTGTAGTGTATACCACTGAGCCAAGCACAACAGTTCGATTATCCAAAGAGCGTAGCAGCGGAGGCACAAACATGCCAACGAGGGACCCAACATTTATTACTGTGTAAATCCAACGAAAAAGCTGCGAAAGCACAACTTCGCGGTTTTGTTCGTCGTCTTCGTAAGCCTCCGAGACAATATCGGCCATCAACGGGTTGGTGCACACCTTCATCCCACCGTACCCGATCGAAAAGCACGAAATACCAAAAGCAAACAGAACAATACTCCCGACGGATGGCTCCACTGGAAATTTTCCGTACATAAAAGGGTACGACGAGAGGGCCACCATCGATAGTCCACCTGCGTATGCTGCCAGGGAAACAACAAGGGAAAGCGGGCGACCCCAACGCCCATCGGAGAGTATAGAAGAAATGCACGCGGCCACCGGTGTGACAGCGTATAGGCCGTTAATGGCAGCGTTTGCAGTGGAGGGGCTCCAACGCAGCATACTCGTGCAGTACATCATAAGCATAAAAGTGGTTCCATAGTATCCCAGCCTCTCTGTGAACTCCACGGCCATCACAATCCACACCCCGGAGGGAAACCCAAGCAGCATCATGGTAGACGTTGGATCTCAGCTCCTTCTCTCCCTCCCTAAAGCGTTGAAGTTATATTCGCTTCGTCCCAATGCGATAATCAATGGACTCGCGGGCGTCAAAGCGGCCTACCTCTACGCCATCAAGTATGGAGGAGGGCAGCAGAGCAACAGCCAATTGGCAAGACAGAGACATAAAATGCGGAGCATCATTAAAAGATATGACAGCTAAAAGCATCCTCCATTTCATCGCTTTCTCTCATGGCTGATGCTTTCTCCACTCGTCGGGCTGGGCGAGTCTTCACTATCGTTCGCCGCCCCTTTTAACCCCGATCATTATTGTTATTTGCTTGTTCTTTTTTTTCGGCTTCTCGGGCCAATTACTCGGTCCTTCTGCACCCGCGTGTCAGTTCCCCCCTGTCCTCCGTGACTGGAGGCTCCTGCCGAGGTTACTCGAATATGTGTAGGACTCATCATTAAGGAGAACACAAGAAAAAGGAAAAAAAGGGGGAAAAAAAGAGGAATATTAGAGAACGTAATAAAACAAAAGTTCTCTACAGTGGCTTCTGGGGATCCCAGTCCCGCAGTAGTTCGGAGCTTCTGCAGACGACGTGGAGCACGGGAAGCAGCATTGGCATCTTGTACGACTCGGAGCGGAAGAGTTCCATCAGCGGCCATGACAGATCCACCTCGTAGTACTCTGCCATCTTTACCCCGTCGTCTACCTTGAAGACGACAACGACGTCATCTATGTGACGATAACGACCGCGATCGTCCCAGGGGAATGGCATTAGTTCGTGGAGGAGTTCTGCCGTGCTGACGTCGCATGTGACATCTTGCATAAAGTCTGTCTGCTGGTATTCGTCGTACATGAAGAGGAGAGGGACGTGTAAAAGCCCATCTGTGTCAAAGTATGGCTGATGATGACCATACAACCCCATCTGCTCACTACTCACCTCCGGCATGGGTGACAAACGAATGCCACAAGATGTGAGTGCACGCATTATACCACACGCTTCCGCCGCCTTCACCCGTGTGCGAATGCTGTTCTTCTTTTCCTCATTTTGTACTCGTTCCTTCCCGTCACGGCATACACGCTCCAGCTCCGCAAAGTCCTCCAACGCAAAGCCCTCTGGCGGCGGGTTTGTGCACCGCCCCTTTGTCAAAAGGTCAATAGCAAGGTCATACTTCTTTACACGCTCCGCACACCGTGCAGCACGATAGTACGCCTTGCTATATTCCGGGTTAAGGATGATGGCACGCTGTGCGTCCTCGAGACCATGACCGAAGTTCTGAATGATGTACTGCGCAAGACTGCGGTTGGCATACAATTGTGAATTCAGAACTGGATCTTTGCACTTTGCATTTAAGCCTTCAGTGTAGCAGTGGGCCGCCGCGCGGGCAAGATTCTCCTTGTTCACCTGCTCCGGATTGAGGGCGAGCTGAATAGCCCTGTTGCCGTGCTGCTTCCTACTCTCCGCAATATCCTCCGCTGGGACCTCGTCGTAGGCGATACTAGCAAGGGCAGCACAATCGGCATTTTTATGCAGATCCTCGTCTGTGATATTCTCCATGAAGAGTGGCATCTTCTCCCATGCCTTGTCGTCGATCTTGTAGTCCCCGCGGCGGCTCCATATTTCGTCGATCTCGTCTTGTAGATCCCGTATGTGGCTCTGCTGCTCGGCCGTCAGCTGCTTATCCGGCGGCACCAAACTGCTCAAGTTCATCGGCCCTACTTGAGTCCCCTGCCGCCTCCTGCTGGCAGCCGCAGGGAGAATCCGGGGAGTGGTGAAAAAAAGGACGAACAAAGGGGGCACAGGGGAGGAACATGGGAGCGGGGACGAGGGGAAGAGCATCACTCCAGCAAAATAACAATGATAACGCCCAGAGCTTCTCCCAGCAATTCACACACGACTCAGTTAGTTTTCGGCAAGCACCCTCTTACAGTCGCCGGAAGGAATCCAAGGAAGATCCACGCGTCAGATCCTCCGCAACGCCTTTCCAAATCGCGCATGCACAAACACACACAGACGCAGAGCAAGGGCACAAAGGAGGAAAGAAGCAGCAACAACAAAACCAAATAAAAAATAAAACAAAAAACTGCGCATGTTTGCTGTACTTTTCGTTTTTCGTCGCATATTTTTTATTTTTATTTCTTTCTGCTTGCTTTGGCCTCGCTTCGTTAGTACCACGTCCTCGGCACGACAGGTTTTGTGCGCTGCATGTAGTCCTTCCAACGGGGAACATTCACCGGTTTCATAAACTTCGCATCTGGATCTTTGGGGTAGTCCACGACGCGAATGTACGGCGCAAACGGCATAAAGAATGTTTTTTGTGGCTCTTTCCACACATTTTCTTTGGTCACTGGCGGCAGCGCCTCACGCTTGGCCTTCGTCACCTCTGGGTCCTCCACAAAGGCGTGTTGGTGCACAAATTCGTGGTCGGCATTGACCCACCAGCGGTTGTATTTGTACGGCACCTCCAGCTCCGTCTTTGACTGCCTCCGGAGTGTCTGCTGGCGAATGTAACGCTGCAGCGCCAACCTTCTCGGGAGATGAACACGGTGGTAGTGCTCCTTGAAGCTATCGGCCGCTATAGCGCTACACCGCAGCATGCTGTGGAGTGCAGCTGCACGTTGTATGCGTTGGAGAAGCGCCGCGCACGGGAAGAAAGGGAGAGAGGGATAGAGGGAGAGAGAGACTAGCGCGAAAGGCACAGCCCGTTCCCCCCCTCTTCTACGCACGGATACCTGCTGCGGGCAGAGCAAAGAGGGAAAAGGCAAAGGCAGCAGAGACATGGCTTGTGCCAGCGCAGGAGATACAGTTGTGGGGAGGGGGCTGAGGTCAGAAAACAGAGATACACAGTCAAAACAACGACCATATAAATGTTTCACGTACTATGAGTTGAACGCCACCATCTACAAGTTGCGTTGACCACACACACACACGCACCCACAAACACACAGATACATGCGGATGTGACCAATAGTGGTGTAAGTCGTTCGTGTGTGGTTGTTTGTTCCCTCCTGCCCCTTTTTATGTTCCCTTTTCTTTTTTTCTTCGCTAGTATTTATTTATTTTTCTGTCAGTTCGTTTTCCTTTGCAGCGCTCATTTGCCCAGCCATTGAGTCCCTTCTTTCTTTGCGTGGTTGTTGCGGCGGCGCAAATCTCCTACAGAACTCGCTTTATTTACATCCCGCTCAACTTACATTTTCATTGGCTCGTTTCTGCCTGCTTGCGTGCATACGCGCGTGGCCATCCCTCCCACACAGGGGCTTGGAAAAGCCACACAAGCGGATCCTTCCCAGAACACCGGGAGCAACAACGGAACCACCACAGACAGCCCCTCTCAGTACTGGATTGGCGTAATGACGACGATGATGACATTCCTCACCCCGCAGGCACACGCAAAAATAGACTTTCTGCAATGCGGTGCGGGGTCGCCAGCGACTTCTTCGCTCTGTTAGTGTCTCCCCTTCTCGGAGGGGCAGTCATTCTCCTCGCCGCCAACAGCTCGTGCGCTCCGCCCTTTTTTGTGTGTCTGCTTCAGCGTGGCTCCACTGCCCGTGGTTCGCGTCCAAGTCGCAGCTCCCGCCCATGCGCCCAGCGCGCGCAAACCAAAAAAAAGCAAAAACAAAGAGCACTGCAGCCACATAAACACACGGGGATGCGCGACTCAGCCCATTCCTCGGCGGAGAGAAAAAGGACCAACGGCAACACATAAGCAGACGCAAACAAAAAAGGGAGAAAAAAAAACCGAATATGCGCCTGGCTGAGGCCTTGCCCCTCCTATTCCTACAAAGAAAGAAAGTGCCACAATGGGCGATGACACCTTCGTTTAACGCGCCCAACATCCCCACCACCGAAGGTGCGATTCATCCCACGCTCGTACAATAACACACACACACACACCGATGAGGACCGGGCACTCGCTGTCGGCCGACGAGGTGGCGGTCGTTGCGGGCTCCGCAGCCGCCAAACCCCTCTGCGTGGGAGGCAGTGCGGGGCTGGCGGGATGGCACGAAACAGCACAACTGCACTCGCGCTGCCTTCCCCAACGCGGCCTCATTGATGAGTAGAAAAAAAAAAATTACAAAAATGAAGAACCAGGGAAGCTACACAA